TTTTTTTTTTTTGGTTTTTCTCCGGTACCGGGAACCGAACTCACGACCTTGCGCTTGCCAGGCAGGCGCTTTTGCCACTGAGCTAAATCCCCAGCCCCCGTTGTTGTCTTTTTGAGGCAGGGTCTCACTATGCAGTTCAGGCCAGCCTTGAGCTCACTTTGTAGCCCAGGCTGGTCTTGAACTCACAATGATTCTCCTGTCTCAGGCTCCTGAGGGCTGGGATTACAAGTGTGTGCCACCACGCCCGGCCATTTGCTTCTGTTTTCACAGACGAGTCATCTTAGCATAAGGGAGTCTGTATAACAGCTTCCTCTCCCAAAATATAGGATACAGGTTTCACACTGTATTATCAAAATTCAATTACAAAAACAAATGGGGGAATCTTTCCCTACAAAATTCATATGTCATAATAGACTTCACTTGACAATATATACTACTAAATTTTAAAATTTCACAAAAGATGGCAGTACAGCAGCAGAAAGACAATTCAATCAGGTAAAGCAAAAAAAAAAAAGCTAATTTTAGGTCAAGGATATGGTTGTGTTTTGCTAGAGTATGCTATCCAGCTATACCATTAAGCCAGATCTGAAGAAGAAGTTGACAATAATGAGGCTAGATTCGGCCTGAGGCCTACTGAAGAAATTGACAGAATGGAAATCTAAGGTCTAAATGGGTGATAGAGCATATAGAAATAACTGAGCTGAAAGTTACCAGTATTCTAAAGACAGAATAAAATACAAAACATGCATGTTCATTATAGATAAAAGATTCTATTCCTCCCAAATTTTTCTTTTTTTTTTTTTTTCTGGTACCAGGAATCAAACTCACAGCCTTGCGCTTGCCAGGCAGGTGCTGTGCCACTGAACTAAATCTGCAGCCTCTCTGTCTTGGTTACTTTTTTCTCACTGCTGGGACAAAATACCTGATGCCCAAAATTAAGGAAGGAAAGGTTTATTTCGCTTACAGTTCGGGGAAATTTCAGTCTGTACTTGGCAGATTATAAGGTAGAGTGGCACATGGCAAAGAGCTACAGCTAAGGGCAGCAGAACACAGCTAAGCTGCAAGCACACACCAGGGCAGAATCGGGGAGGAATGTTCTCAAGCACTCTTTTCCTCTCCCTTACATATGCAAACTATCCACTCCCAGGCGGGTGCAGCTCTCACACCCACAATCATTCAACTCTAATAGCCTGCCCCATGGTCGCTTGAGGCTTTGGGGGGACACACAGGTTCAAACCATAACACCCTCCTTTCAAATTTTTCTGATTAGAAATCTCTGCTAATTGACAAAAAACAATCTGACTAGTCTACTGTTACAATTGATACATTGTGTCAACTTGAGGAGTCTAGAAGCTTAACTAAGTAACTCAGCAGTTCTACATCCTGGGGTGAAAAGGACATGCCCTTCCTGCTCAAGGATGTTATTCATTGTGTTAACTTGAGAAGTTTAGAAGGTTAACTATGTGACTCAGTAGGGAGCCAGTGTCCTTACTTTGTATGCATACTGAGCCTTTGCAAGAGGAGGGCACGGAGATGGTGCGGGCATGGGCAGATGGCCAGTATACAATATAAGAGAGGAAAAGAGGCTTGCTTCTCCCCTTGTGCTCTTGCAGCTTTTGCTGTCTTCTGCCATGTTGAACTGTTGTCCCTGTGCCATGCTACCCTGCCTTGGAGCCAGCTGATTATAGACTAAAATCTCCACAAATTATAAGCTAAGTAAACCTTTCCTTCCTTAATTTTGGGCATTGGATATTTTGTCCCAACAAGGAGAGAAAAGTAACCAAGACATCTATTTATAATTATAAATTCCTAAAATTGTAATAGAGTTACTATAATTCAATTTGGTCAAAAAATTCTGATTGTACTCTGATTTTGTAAAGATGTTTGTTAGTTCTGTGTACTTGTTATTTGCCTATTTGTCTGTCATATCTGTGAACAGCTGTTCCCTTTTTTAGCTCAACAATTATCCTCTTTTACCATTTGTTCAAAATACAATTTGGGTTATAGATTGATAAGCACGCTTTCACCTGTGTTACCAGCTGGTATAAATGATACCAAAACTGATTTTCTCATAGTTCATCAAAAAATTTAAGATAATTAACAAAAATTCCTTAGAGTGGGAAGAGATTATTTGACAAGACTCCAACTGGTGACTAGAGGAGTGGCAAGTCTTTGATCATTAATAAGGAGGCCCCAGTGATCTCCGGAGTCTCTTGGGAGACACACCAATAATTTGGTCATTGGTCAAAAGATAAAGTTTCTCAAAATATTACAATAAGGTTTTCTCATAAAAGATGCTCTTAGTACAAAACAAAACTGAACTAAGAAACAAAGGCTTCCAGATGTGTATGATGACTCATTATTGTTAATCTCATGGTGTATTAAATGTATTCATGATTCCAGATGTACAGGTCTTCCAAAATGTAAAACAGATTGTTTATTATGAAAGTACTTTTCTTTCAGATTCAGACCTCTGCCTTTAACAAAAAACTTGTGGCGTACATTCCATTAAAGGACAACTAATTAAGTAAAAGCTTCTTATGTATTAGATAGAGATGATTAGTTAAAAGGGTTATGTTATGTCAAAATGAAAAATTAAGTATGTTATAAAATGTCATAATGATTGTCATGCTGCAATGTTATATATGGTCTTGATTTCTAAATTTGTATGCAAAAATATGTAACTATTGTCTGTTAACATTACATAAAGATCTTAATATTAGAATATTCATGGTTGTTAGAAAATAACAGTTCAATTTTATGTTCTAAGGTGTTTGATATTCAGATAAGATAGTAATATTAAGCTTACTGCCTCCCTTACAATGTGATGTCATTAAGCTTCTCTTCTGGATGTTTAGCAACCGAGGTTTGGATACCAAAAATTAGAGAGATTAGACGGGCTAAGAGTATAGCCAATATTTTGGCTCTAGCCCTCCAACATCAATGAGGACCTAGAACATTAGAGAACCTCTGCTGTGACATCCTATAACTCAGTTGAGTCCCTAATTTTCTGATTAAGGAGATTATGGGACCACAGAAGATAGTGATTCAAGATGTATAGTGTACCTAAGGAGAGTCACCAGGAGAGAAAAAAAAATCTCTCAAGCTTTCATAGAAAGCAACTTGGTCAAAAAATGGTTGTAATTCATCCTGATGGTGGACACTGACAGAAGATCTAAGAGGTTCTGTACTTGGTTCCGAGGTAATTCCTGAGGAAACTTAACTAACCTTGATAGATGGCAAAGAATTGATTAATGCAGGTCTCACTTTATTTGGTCTTAAACATCCAGCAGAAAAGTATAACCACAAGATGTATTTAAAAACTATGTCATAATAATATGCTAGCTATAAAAGGTTCAAATCACTAACAACTTCTGACAATTGCCAGCTGTAACTCACTACTGTTATGGATTATTGGACTATATATGGTTAAATTGCTGTATGCAAGTGTTGGGAGTGACTGAAGCTGGAAAGTAAGTATGAGTGCAGGACGAAGCCAGCCTGAGAACATGGGAACACTTCGAAGCATGCTGTTATAGCTTAACTGACTGCTGGGTAGAGAAGCTGAACTTAATAACCTCTCTAGGGTATAAATAAACACTCTTCTGTTCTTGGGCAGTTCCTCCCCTCTACTTAAAGAAGAAAGGAGCTCCACCTGACCAAGCTTTTTGTTTCTTGTCCATCTTTTCCTCATTCTCACCCCTGTCCCTTCCTGGGGTACAGCAAAAGCCCAAAGAATCCCTACATTTGGTGCCCAACATTGTGCTCCCAGTAAGGCCAGAGTGGGCAGCAAGAACGCTTCCCAGAGTGCACACAATAAGGAGGGGGAAGCACACTGGCAGAGCTGGTGCTCAGCACTGGAGTGCTTTGGCACTGGTGCATCAGGTATTAAACGTGGGCATACGGTCCTCTTGGGTCAGAAAGTATCTAGGCTTCAAAAAAGCCACAGAGAGAAAGGTATATTGAAGCACTGGCAGTTAAAAATGGGGCAAGTAGTCTCAGGACTCCTGGGGTTATATATATAGAAGTGTTTGTTGCATGTTTGAATCCTGTATTTACTTTTATTTGGGGGGTATTCATAAGAAAAGGTTTTAGAACCATAAAGTATTTGGCTCAGAACATTATTTTAACATCAAACCCCGAGCATGAGCAGGGGAGGGCAGAGCAAGGGTATTGCCTATAGAGCTTAAGCCCTCTAGCCTCATTCAATTTAAAAGAAAAGGAGTGGTGGGGCACAAAAGGACCTTGTCCCACCAGAGAGGTTTCCTCTCAAATTCCATCTTTAGACATATATACCCTGTTACTGAAGTTCAAGCTCCCAATGATGCAAGGCAAATAACATGTCTTTGGATTTGTGCAGATATGAGCTCCCCGTATGTGCAAGGGGCTGCCTTCAAAGCAGCTGTCACTCAGGCTATTCATCCACAGTCTGGAGGAAAAGGAAAAAACAAGGCTGATTATTTTTTTTGTGGGGATGAGGGGCATGTTGCCCAAAACTGCTTTGTTGCACTGTAGAGGCAGCATAGCCATTATCTGTCTCTTCAAATAAACCTTCCAGTCTTTGCACAAAGTGTCAGTGAGGGTATCATTGGGAAAATAAGTGTAAATCTAAACCTGATATGAAATGTCAGCCCCTCCTGGAAACCTCCCAATGGGCTTGCCTCAGCCCCCTCAAACAATAGGGGTGCAGACTGGGTGCTGGGAAGGCCCTGCGCTCAGTCCTAAGCAGACTCCGCTGGGATTTTCCAGCCACCCACATGTCTGCAGAACAGCCGTGGCTATCCAAGCGACACCAATTACAGGCCTTTGCACCTGGGGCTAAATAGGAGGGCCCTAACTGCAGCATGCTTTGGCTCTCACTGCGACTTGCATCATGCCTGTTCCTGACACCAGGAATTCATTCAGCACAAATATTGTCTGTGCTCAAAACAGGGCTTTGGACAAAAACAAAATATCCAGCAGCCACAGCAGGCTTGCCCAGTGCCTGCAGTCAAATGGCTGAGACAATGGCTGTGTATTCCCCTTTCCTTCCCCCTAGCAAACTGGATCCCCAAAAAGCGCTCTGCACACCTCTGCTACACTGCCCACCCAATTAGTAGGTGGCTGTGGCTACAGAGGCAGTAAGTGCCATGCCCACATGGGAGGGGTCACAGGCAGTGGAGCCCATTCCCGACAGAACAGCAGGACAGTGGAGGCCCTGCCAGCAGCTCCCCCAGCCTGAAGGGAATAAAGTAAAAGCTGCATCCAGATGCTGCAAAGAGACTAGGTTTGCCTGTGGTCACTGATTTGGACTATATAAGAAATCCAATTACTCAGAACCTTACTTAATGACCCCAGATTCTCCTGTCACTCAATTGGTTATTTTTTCCCTTGGTAAAAATTGGAAAATTCGTAATTAAGGTAAGAGATCCAAGGGTTTTGGATCTGACAACTATTGGTTTCACTAGATCAAACAAAATCACCCTGAGCTAGAACTACCTATTAGAGAAAAAAACTATTTAAAGTGCTTTAAATAGGTGTGGATGTTTCTGTTATTGCCCAGTACTGTTGGCTTAAAACACAGCCTCTGGATGTAGCCAGTACAGACCCACAGGGAGAGGGCAATGTTTCTCACCCTAGCAAAAGTGTTAAGCTGCTAATCTGGAAGGATATAAACTATGACAACTTCTTCATGTTTGGGTGACCTTACTCAACAAAGACAAGAAAGGATGTTACAGTGAGCTATTGTTTAGTATTGACACTTGCCAAGGAGCATCCATATGTGAGTGGTTTTATTCTCCTAACATAATGGCTCTGGCCAGTAGCTAAGTGGGAAAAGATTCCCTCTCACATGAACCTATCCTGTAACTGGCATCCATCTTATGGACAGATACACATTGTATGTCTTGGAGTTTTTAGAGGTAATTAATCCAGCTAGGTAAATTAATCTGAATGGCCTTTTTCAAGTGTATCCCAAGAGTCTTTGTGTCTACTCCTAGACATTGCACTGATCTTTTTAAGAGGGATCCTAAAAATGTCCTGAAAATTTATTTCTTTGCAATTGTACAGAGAGTAAAAATTATGGCAGTGACTATTAGTTTGTGACAGTATTCAGAAATCATGGCAAGCAGCCACACTATCCTGATGCTTGCTGATGATATAGCCTGCAATCCTAACAATCCTAAACAAGCTACTGTGTTTAGTCACAAGAAAATAAAACTAAGCCAGGTGTGGTGGTGCACACCTGTAATCCTAGCACTTGGGAGGTGGAGGCAGGAGTGTCGTTGCAAGTTGAAGTTCAAGATCAGCCTGGTCTACAAAGTAAACTCAAAGCCAGCCTGAACTGCATAGCAAGATTCTGTCTCAAAAATACTATGTGTGTGTGTGTGTATATATATATATATAACTAAATGTGTATAGAGATGACATAGAAGTGGATTACAGAAGCTATGAGGTGACTATGAGAAAATTTTTACAGATATTAACAGGGGGGATTCTGCCTAGTACTCCTAGGTTAAAACATCTTTATGATGATGGAGGTAATATTTTTATTTATATGACAGGACCTGGTAAAAATGGTTTCTTGAAATTTCAAGATTATGGGCTGAGGATATAGCTCAGCAGCACAAATGCCTACCTAACAATTGCAAGGTCTTGAGTTCGATTCCCAGCACCAAAAAAAAAAAAAAAAAAAAAAAAAAGAAATGTCAAGATTCTGAAAAAATTGCTGACATAGAACTTGCAGATTTTTTTAACAGATGTGGCAATTACCCCAAACTGTTCAGATTGACCTTAAATGATCTTCATATTTTACTTTGTGACGTTAATTAACTCTGCCCACCTTTTGGGCTGATTTTTTTTGGTGTTTTAATTATCATTATCCTTCAGACAAGTTAATTTGCTTCTGTTTTTACAGATGAATTATTTTAGGGTAAGGAGGGCTAAAGGATGGCTTCCTCTACCAGAATACAGGCACATCATGTTCCTTGTTTTATTGGTCATATAACATCCCTGTCCCCTATTGCTGGGGCCTCTCACTGAGGGAAACACTGTCACAGACAAATTGCTGGCTACTATCACTGTTATTCCCTCAGATACCATTCAATAGGCTTCTGCTTCTCATGCCACCTTTCATCAAAATGCTTCTGTCCTGCATAAACAATTCCGTTTGACCCAGGAATAGGCCCAAGAAATTGTTAAGCAATGTTCTTCATGTGTAATACACCTTTCCCCACCTTCTATGAGGGTCACTCCCTGAGGGCTACACCCTAATCATCTTTTGCAGAGGGATGTCACTCACATTCCTGAATTTGGCTCTTTACACTAGGCCCACATTTCAGTGGACACTTCCTCAGGGTTATTTTGCTTCTGCCTGCACTGGTCAAGAGGCTAAACATGTCACTGCTCATTATTTGGATACCTTCAGTGCCCTTGGTTGCCCATAGGCACTTAAGACTGACAATGGCCCAGCATATACAAGTGCTGCTTTCCAAAGGTTTTGTAACACTTTTCATATTTCCCTTACCATAGGGATTCCTTATAACCCTCTAGATCAAGTAATTATTGAATTTACTCACTGTATGAACAAACTTCAGTTACAAAAACAAAAGGTGGAATTTTTCCCTACAAAATTCACACCTCATAAGAGACTTCACTTGGCAATATATACTATTAACTTTTTAAATTCTACAAAAGATGGAAATATAGCAGCAGAAAGACAATTCCATCAGGTAAAAGAAAAAAGGCTAGGAAGGTTCCATTAAAGAGTTCTCCATACTGGACAATGGAAGGGACCCAGTCTGCTACTTACCTGGGGTAGAGGATGTACTTGTGTTTTTCCAGAGAATGCTGAGTGACTTATTTGGGTACCAGAGCATGCTACCAGGTTATATCATGAACTCAGAGCTGGGGAAGAAGGTGATTCTACCTTTTGGGGAGCTGGTGTGCAGTCCTGTGACCATGATGATAAACAAGGATAAGGCTAAATCCAACCCGGGGCCAACCAAAGAAATTGACCCAGAAGGCCCAGGAAATTCTAACCAAAATAGGAATTAAAGATCTGAATAGGGCCAGGCATGGTGATTCACACCGGTAATCCCAGCACTCAGGAGGCTGAGGCAGGAGGATTGTTATGAGTTTAAGACCACCCTGGGCTGCAAAGTGAGCTCAAGACCAGCCTGAACTGCATAGCGAGACCCTACTTCAAAAAGACAAAAAAAAATCTGAATAGGTGATAGAGTATGTAGAATTAACTGAGCTGAAAGTTACCAGTATTCTTAAAACAGAATAAAATTATATATATATATATATATATATATATATATATATTCATTATAGATTAAGGATTATATTCCTTCCAGATATTTTTGATAAGAGATCTCTGTTAGTTGATGAATAACAAAATCTTTCTAGTCTATTTATAATTATAAATTTCTAAAAATTGTATTAAAGTTACTATAGTTCAATTTGGTAAAGAATATATTTGAGGGTACTCTGATTTTATAAGATGTTTGTTTCTACGTTCTGTGTACTTGTTTACGTTTGTCTGTCATTGTATGAACAGCTGTTCCCCTTTACTTTGAGTTTAACAATTTTCTCTTTTAACATTTGTTCGTAATACAATTTAGGTTATAGATTTAAAAGCATGCTTTCACCCAAGTTAACAGCTGCTTTAAATGATATCAAAATTAGCTCTCTCACAGCTCATCAAAAATTAAGCTATTTAACCACAATCCCTTAGGGTGAAGAGACATTATTGGGCAGAACTCCAATTGGTGAATAGAGGAATGGCCAACCTATGTTCATTAATAAGGAGTCCCCAGTGATATCTAGAGTTTCTTGGGAGACACCCTTAATAATTTGGTCATTGATCAAAAGATCAAAGTTTTTCAGAAAAAAGTTTTTTCACAGAAATTGCTCTTAATATGAAACTAAATTAAGAAGCAAAGGTTTTCACATGTGTATGGTCTTTCATTATTGTTAATCGCATGGTATATTAAATGTATTTATCATTTCAGATGTATAGGTCTTCCAAAATGTAAAGCAAGGATTGCTTATGGTACAACTTTTGTTCAGATTCAAAGCTTTGCCTTTAACAAAAAACTTATATATATATCCCATTAAAGGATAAGTCAGAGAAAAGCTTCTTATATATTAGAGATGTTTCATTAAAATATCATCATGATTTTCATGTGGCAATGTTATGTATGGTTTTGATTTCTAATTTCAATGTAAAAATATGTAAATATTATCTGTTAATATTCTGTAGGGATCTGAATGATAGGATATCCATGACTATTAAAAAATAACAGTTCCATTTTGTGTTCTAAAGTGTTTGATACTCAGACAGATAGTAATGTTGTCACAGCAACTGGGCTGACTTCCATAGAAGACCAAAGGATTCTATTTAGGCTAAAAAAAAAAAGTGTATTGAAATTAGGCTGGCCACTA